TGATATAAAATGTAATTTGAAAAATGAAAATTGCACAAAAATATATAAATATTTAATAAAGTAAATTATTTTTTTAGTAATTCAAATTATATGAATTTAATAGAATTCTGGTGTAATTTTATTAGATTTTCAGGAGATTCTAAGCTAAGAGTCTTGAGGATAAGGATTGAAGAAGAGAAAATAGAAGAAAGTGGAAGATTTGAGCTTATAAAGAGCAAAGAATAATAAAGTTAAGTGCCAGGCGTTACCCTTTTTACAAGGAAAGTGCTCACTCTAGAGCTTAAATTCAAAGGCTAGCCTCCGCGTTAACACTTTTTCCAACAATAGTAGCCACGCCCATGAAGAAAGGCTCGGCGTTATCACTATTACAAATAATAGTGATTGTTCTAGAACTAGGGTAAGAGGAATAAGTTGCGCGTTATCACTATTTCTGAGAAAAGTGAACACGCGTAAGTCTGGGCAGAAGGAATAAGTTGTGCGTGATCACTATTGCTGAGAAAAGTGATCTCATAACCTTTACCTTTCTATCTAGTTGCCTTTTCACCTCATCAATGAACACATGTAAGACATCCACTAATTGAGATTTTTCATGCAACACATACAAACAACAATAACGTAAGTAGTCATCAATAAAAGTAATAAAATATCTTTCACCACCCCAAGATGGGATGTCAAACGGACCACAAATATCAGTGTGTATCAACTCTAAGAGTTGACTGCTTCTTGTGGCTGGATTCTTCGATGTGTGTTTGGTTTGTTTTCCTTTAATACAATCCACACATACATTCCAGTCAACAAAATTCAATTGAGGTAAAATTTTACTTTTCATTAACCTCATCATCCTTTCTTTGGATATGTGACCTAACCTTTGATGCCACAAGAAAGCAGAACATTCATTATGCACATTCAAATTACTACTAATAGCATTCTCAACATGAAACAGAGATTCAGCAAATTTAACATTAAGATTGAAACGATATAAACGATATAAATCATCAATTAATGTACCAAATTCAAAATAGTACGAGTGTTTATACAAAGAAAAGGTATTGTTTCCAATCTTAAAATTAAAATCAAATTCGTCCAACTTTGCAACAGAAACCAAATTTCTAGCACATTCAAGAACATAAAGACACTTTTCTAGATCTATACAGCAACCAGTATGCAAGATCAATCTATAAGTCTCTATTCCTTCTATTTGTGCCTTAATTCTATTTCCCATGTATAAGAACTTTTCAGTTCCGCTTATGGGCTGGATCGAAAGAAATCTCTGTATTACATGTGACACATGAGTAGTTGCACTAGAATCTAACCACCAAGTATTTTTAGGTACCTCAATAAGATTTGATTCAAAGCATACTAAAACATAATATATACCTTTCCTTTCGAATCAAACCTTTCTCTTTGGACAATCTTTCTTAAAGTGACTAGTCTTCTTGCAGAAGAAGCATCTCTGTCCCTTCTGGATTCGGTCTTCACGAACCTTTAATAAGGCCTTATCCTTTTTGTCCTTGTTGTCCTTCTTACCTGACTTAGCCTTGCTACTACTAGCCCCTTCATGAAATGTGAGATGGATAGAGTGTTCTTTCACCTTCTTCAGCCTCCCCTCCTCCTGAACCAGCATGGCCTTAATTTCTTGTATGTTTCATTTATCCTTAATGGTGTTGTAATTCACCTAGAACTGACCAAACTCAGGAGGGAGTGAGTTCAAAATGAATTGTACTAGAAAGAATTCCTTTACCTCTATACCCATTGATTTCAACTTTGCCGCTTGATTGACCATGTTAGTCACATGGTCATGAATGGGCTGTGACCAATCAAACTTCTTAGTAGTCAGCTCAGTCAACAGGGTGCCTATAATGGACTTGTCAGTAATGTCCGATTGTGCATACTCTTTTACCTTTGCCATAAATTCCCTAGCATTTTCAGTCTTTGGCATTGATGGCTTCACATTTTCAGCCATAGTCATCTTCAGCAAGCTCAAGCTCAGCCTATTCAACCTTTCTCAAGCCTCACGAAGAGTCCTTTCCTCTTCAGTACTGGTCTCTGTGATGGCTGCAAGCTCTTGTTCCATAATGATGACTAGGTCTAAGTCTATAACACCTAGCTGAAATCGAACTTATTCAGCCCAATCATCATAATTAAGCCCATTGAACTTGGCTATGTCATTGCTCATGCTATACGTATTCATAGAGACTGAAATATTTAACACATGCTTAAATAAACTTAATGGGTTCGGACAGTCAACTGTCATCAATTATGCATCTAAGTTTACCTTTGGGTAATGCCTAAATACACAATTTATCTGTAATGATGTTAATAAACAACTTTAATTGACAATCAGTCACTCAAACCAATATGCAAGTCATCTTTGGATATACAAACATATTATGAAGTGCTTACATGTCTCCTTAATGTCATTAATCATATGCAATGATCCACCTTTGGGCGATCTCCTAGCATTATAATTAATGAGCTAAATTGTTCACTCTTTATATTTCCATATAGCATCAAACAATTTTGAACAATTTACAACATACAATTAAATGCTTAAAAAACTTTTAAAGCCAGGCCACTTTGGTGACTAACAAGCTACCCTTAAAATTAAGCACTAAAATGTGAAGTTCTCATAATGATAATATAATTTAGAATTAATTAACTTGAGAATATCACTTTGGTGAGTAAAATTTACTTTGATGTAATTCTAAAATTATCTATATATTTTATAAATTATATTCCTTATTCTGCCGTGAAATTCCTATGCACTGTCGTGCTTTTACTTGATGCATGGTCGTGCTTACAATATGCAAGGCCATGCTTCAACGAAGCACGGTCGTGCTTGTTCCTGATGCATGGCCCTGCTCCCTAATACATGGCCCTGCTCACTGATATATGGTCCTACTCACTGATATATGGTCCTACTCATTGATGTATGGCTCTGCTCATATTATAGATTCAAAATCCAATGTTTCTAGCTTCCAAAACCTTAGGGTTTTCAATTATTGAATTCAAAACAATTATTTAACATCAAAATTATGTCAATCTATCATATAAAATACCTAGGGTTCATGTAATTTGGGAAAAACTTTAATGGAGAACCAATCTCTTATGGAGAATCAACCAAATTCACAACCTTGCTCTGATACCAACTGTTAGAATTTTCTTTAATCCATTATGTAATTTTCATTATGCAATGACTATTATGAAATTACCTTTTCCCTTTTGTGATCATGAATTACGTTGTTCTCACGACACAATATATGGTTCTAATACAATTAAAGGTTTAGAGAGCACTAACCTGAATCCATTGTTCCTTGATGTTACCTCTCTCTTTGATGTCGTTGATCCCTTTGTATTTTCTCCAACTCTTCCTTCATCTTTTAGCTCCTCTCGGATGGTTGAGAGAAAGTTTCTTTCTTGCGTTTACCGTGAGCTCACTCAGAGACCGTGAAAGTGAAAATTAGAGAATGTCGTAACCCCTATTTGGTAACCGCTCTTTAATTTATATGAAGGGAGAGGGGGGGTTTCCTTAAAATTGTATTTATAATTATACCCTCAATGACTCTATATTTTATATTTAACCATCATCACATTAAATCATTAATTAAAGTCATGTTATAAGTTACATAGACCACTATAATAAGATTATTAAAATAATCTAACAATATTACCATATCCATACCTGTTAGAATTAAAGAATTAATGACAAGTATTTATGGATATCCATGTATATTTAAGAATTAAAAGTTTTAAAAAAGTATATAATATATAATGATATCATATTATATTGATATTATATAATATAAATTAATATTATATACTTTTTTATTTTAAATTACTGGCATATTCCATTTGAAGCAGTCTTATCCAAATTAGGTAGAACTGATATAAATGATTAAGTTTTTTTTTCTAAGGATTTAACATAATTGCATTAGGTAAAACTTTAACACGAAATTACATATTAAGTTGTAACAACTTTTACTCATTAATTCAAAAACATCTCATCACAAAAGGATATAAAAAAAAAGTTAGAATATTTTAAATATATTAATACAAAAATATATTTTAGATGATGATCGGTATCACGGGATGGTTCTATAATGTTAGTTTCCACTCATTTTATGATTATGCAAGTATTGATTGAGGATATATCTTCAAATTTTACATGTACGGGTATTTTTTACATTCCTGTTGGAATGATATATAAGTTTCCTTAGCAAAATTTTTAACTTTGGTCTGAACCCACTGGGAATGAAATTCAAAGTTCCTTTAATACTTGCTAATAAGTCAATCAAACTTGTTCTTAACAATGTAGCCATTGCGTTTTTGAAGCATGTAACATATTTGAAGAACCAAGCTGAAGATCATCAAATGAAGGTTAGATTTCAAAGAAAACTTAAATATTCAAGAGGAGTGTAACAATTAATGACTGATGAGATTGAAAAGTATTTTTGGACCATTTAAAATTTGTAAATAGGTTATTCCATGATATATTTATATTTAGGCTAAAATAAATAAGGGTAAATTACATGCACTATTCCCTCTTTAGTTTCACACTTTCTTACTTTATTCCCTATTTTTATTTTTGTGCTGCTTAACCATCCCAATAGTGTTAATTTTTTTTATTACTTTAAAGCCCCCCCACCCTTTTTTTCCTCCCCTAAGGGGTTTATTGACCGAAAAAGAGTATATGGGGTAAATTAAAAAATATATAAAACTAAAAGAATAAAGTGTAATTTATCCAATTAATCATTGTTATCTTTTCCCATACTCTGATTATTTAAGTAACTAAAACATATCCATACATTTAACATTCAAACTAACAAATAGTTGTGCAAAAACTGAATACCTTTAGGTGCTATTCAAAGCTAGCTAACATGCTACAAGAAAAGATATTGTAAATGACAAAGTGATAAAGTCTAATCTCAATAAGATTACAGTTCAAGTGATGTCCATTTTAATCGATGAAAAGAGAGGCAAACAGCGCAGGAATTGTGTTCTTATGCAGCATATAGGGGACGCCTATATTCATCAAAATATTGATCACGATCAGCAAAGACAATAGCATAGAGAGCATAAATTATTCCTGGAATATATCCCAGTATAGTCAGGAGCAAGCAGACGATGAACTCAACCTGCAATAATGTAACACAGACTCTGTAACTCTACCACAGTCAAAGTTTGTTAGAAATTCTAGTACAATCTTTTGTTATTGCTACAACAAAATAAAAGTAAGTTTAAATATTTTTTTTCAAAATATGAAAAATTTAATCTTAATCCTCGTTTAAGTTTAATTTTATGCATTTTTAATTTTTCACGTTTAAAGAAGATAATGTTTTTATAATTTCTCGTTAGAGATCAGACGTACATTACTCTTTTATAATTTTAGCAATTTGTTGTTGTTTAGACTATATCTATTCTCTTTTTATTAGCAATACCCTTTGTAAACTCCGTGTTAAATTAGAGCACCTCCACACAAACTGATGCATGTGCTCAGTGATATAATTTTAACAATTAAAAATAATTTTAAAAAATTCATAATTCTAGAGTTGAAAATATATGCAAATATTAAAAAGAGTTATTAATTAATGCATTATTAAATCATTTTTATTTAACATGATGCTCAATATTTTATTTATTTATTTATTATTTAAATAATTTCCTAAAATGTTCTGCGGACATTTATTAATTAGATCCAAAATATATTCAAACCTTAGAAAATAGAAGAAAATCGTGTTTCCTATAATTGATGGAATGCTCAAATAGACATGTTGCGGGGAATGATTAATTTGATGCACAAAGAGAATAGATCTTGAGATTCTTTCACACATAAAAAAAAGAATAACACGATAAAGTGGAAAGCATGAATGTAATAAAGAGCAATAAAGTAGAAGAACACATACACTGCAGCATCCATGGCGGAAGCAAACTCCCAATGGAGGGAGGAAAATCGCTATCATGATCTCACAACATATTTCACAACGAGTGGGCATTTTGAATCCTCTTAATAAGATTATCTGGTTCGTGTTGTTGCTGCGCTTATGAGACTTTGCCACTTTCCTTTGAGAACTGATATCATAGGTATTATCATTATGTGTCTTTTTGTTGCTACTTTGAATTAATCGCCTTTGGACCCCATCTTCATGGAAGCACGTGTAATTTGTTTTATAATATTAACATTTTTACAACTAATACATACACGATTTACGAGGTAAAAGAATCTGGATCAACATTGGAAAATGAAACACGTGAGGGAATAAGAATTAAGGTGACATGTTGCTTATAATTATTATTTGTGTTATTATTGCTTAATTTTATTTGCTTGGGAAACAGCTTTTTTAATTATTCTTTGACCTCTCCAAACAAAATTGTTGTAACGTGATGTCTTTGTTTCATTATTTGACTTCAATTTTTTTAAGTATAAAAGGAGTAATTATTTTAATTTTATTTAATTATGAAATATATGTATTGATATTTTTAATTGAAAATAAATTTATTTTATATTTGAGAATAATTTTTTACAAAATATATTTTTGAAAAAAATTTATGTTAGAATAGTTTTTAGTGAAAATGACAATTTATGTGCACTTAACTATACTTTAGGAAGATATGACTATTTGTTAGTAGGAGTACCTCTAGTTATACTTCAAGAAAAAAAGTTTTTTAATAAATTATGATATGATATAAGTAAAGAAATAACTATATGTTAGATGGAACTGCCCTTAAGAGTAAGATCGTCTTAAAAAGAAATAGTTACTAATAAGGTGAAATTGTCATAAAGATAGATTCGTTCATGTGTAACTCCTATAGTATTTATATATTTTTTATTTATAATTTTTAAAAAATTATTATTTAATTTTTAAGAAAAAATATGCTTTACCTCTTTGTACCTTTAGTTATGTGCATTTAGGCCATTTTCATGTAATTACCAAAATATGGAGAAAAAGTCATTCTCTTACAAAGACTACCAATATTAGGAATAGTGAAAAATCATGCACCCACGAATAATACTCACCGCAGGTCGAGTTTGCATTTTCAAATAAGTACCCACATGTGTAATAAACAAATTGTTTAGTACTTGTTAATTAAATATGGGATTTAGGTAATGAGATACTCATGCCTACGGATACCTGTTTACATATGAAATTATAAAATTATTTCTTGTATATAAATAAAAACAACTTAACTCTAACCTTAGTAACCCTATTATTATGTTTCAAATGCCCTTTCTAGTATTACGTGGATGGTTGATAATAGATTTTTTTTAATTATATATTTTTAATAAAAAATCATAAAAATTTATGGGTATTTTTGGATACCCATTAAACTAATAAGTACTCGTTATATGGGTACTTGCACAAGTATCGAGGTAGGTGTAGAGCAAAAACTTGTGAAGAATAAGTTCTACAAGGCTAGTGAAAACCAACGTCCCAATAAAAAAGACGAAAAAGAAAAAAGAATAAAGAACAAGATCTATGAAAATGAACAAAATTTACAAAAAATGAGAATGAAATGTGAGTGAGGCAAAAACAACAAAATGTGCTTAGAGTTAGACTAAGTCTACTAGTGATGGATTATGTATAAAATCTTCGTTGGAAGTAGATTGATCTGAATAAGATTTTTCATCACTAAGAATAGAGGCAAATGATTATGTTTTTTAATTTTGTGATTTTGCACTCTTGTACATTCTCAAAAGAGTGGTGAGCGAAGGTGAAGATGTAGAAATTGGTGGAAAAATTAGAAATCAATGTGTAAAGAAGGCATGGAGAAAGGGAATAGGATTTGAGAAATTATGAATTGGAAAATAGATTTTAAAATAGGGTATTTTTGTTAAACAATAAAGGCACATGAGAGTTAATGTTTAAATTGATGGACTTTATAGTGAAAGGGTTTCTTTGCATAGTTTAATAATTACAAGGGACACATTAGCTAATTTTAAAACTTAAGATTTAAATTATACATGACTAGGGATGAAAATAAGTTAGACTGTCCAACATGAGCCTATGGTTTAATCTTTTTAAAATTTAAACTATTTAATTAATAGGCTTAATTTAAAATGTTTAAAATTTTTAATTAATTAAATAAGCTAGGCTTAAACTTAAGAAAAAGCTTATTAAGCATATTAAAATGACCTATTTAAAATTCATAAAATTTACAATAATATGTTAAATAAGTTTATATAAAAATTATAATATAATAATATATTAAATCAATTAAATTTTAAAATAATAAAATCTTAAATTAAAAATTCTAATCCTTTAAAGAATATCGCTATTACGTATCCTCTAAAAGAGATACTTTGCTTGCTGAAATTTTTTGCATATCCTATACATATACATTGATTTACATTGTTGTCTCGATTATGTCTATTGTTGGTTTGTCTCATCTCATCCATCATCTTCTTATAATTAATACTAATGAATGAGACTTTATGTTACTAGATTTGCTTAATGATTTATAAATTGATGTTCATTTTATTGTATTTCTTGTATGTATAGTGATTTACTTATTTAAATTAAATGTGGTTTGAAAGTGATAAATAAAAATATGTAATTTTATTATACATATTCAAAGTATTGAATCATTTTTTCAATAATTTACTTAGATATAAACTTTATGACTTTTAAAAGACATATTGAATGTCTCTATACAAATTAGGCTATTAAAAAGGTTAATAGGCCAAATCAGGCTTTAAAAAGTTTAGACTAAGCTTAATAAAAAAAATCTATAACAAGTAATAAAACAGGCTTAGACTTAAAAATTATTAGATAAGTCAGACCTATTTATTCAAAGTCTAGCCTAACCTGACCTATTTTCATCCCTATACATGATCCAAGGTCTTAAAATTTGTTTAATAGCATAAATTTATGAGCTCTTAGTTTATTCAAATTTTTGAAATATAAACCACTTATGTATATTCTTTTTTCCTTTCTTGTTTACTATGATTATTATTCCTTTTCCAAGTTTATGTGATTCATCCCTTCATCGTTCATTTTTTTTTCTAGATCATTCAATAATTGAATGAAAAATCTTAAGGAGTTATGATCTTTCTCAATAGTGTTATGTTGACATGCTCTCATTATTTTAGTGACATCTTTTTAGTTTATTTTTGTGTCACTCTTACTTTTATAAACTATTTTATGATAATTTATAAAGAATTTAAGATCTTATTTAAATTATTATTTCAATTTTTCTCAATTGTAATATGAGAAAACTTACAAAAATTTAAAACTTTTATTTTTCACCAGTTAATTCTTAAAAGTTTAATAATTATTTAAAATAACATAATTTAAAATATAATTAAACATTTCTCGTCATAATATAATTTATTAAATGAAATTTTAACAACATTAAACAATTACTTCATTTGTACTACTGAAATACATAAGTGCAATATTTACAAATTATGGTTAAAATACATTAAAACTTAAATTAAATAATTACAAAAAAAAAAACCTAGAATACATTATATTCTAATGAGCATATCAGTCTCATACCAGAACTTAGAGAATATGATCCAAGTGTGGATTAATCTAATTAGTGTTCGTCAATTGATCGTACTTTATTTCTTGAAAATGTAAGTAAGAATAAGTCTTCTTCTCACTACTAAAATAATGATTTAACAAATTCATAATAGATCAAACACTATGTCAATCATATCATTAATATTTTAAAGCATACATTAAGATCATACTATTTAATATATGTTTACACCAATTAGTATGTCATAATATGTGTATTATTATCACACCAATAAAAATGTTATAACCTATGTATTATAATTACATCCATCGATGTATTTCAACACTTATATTATAATCACACCAACCAATATGTTACAATATATATATTATAATCACACAATCAATATGTTACAATACATATATTACAATCAGACTATTATTGGCCTTAGATCCCTTTAGGTTTTCCATAAATATGGATAGTTGCTGGTTAGTTGTAGTAATATATATACAACGTGTGCCAACATAACTCCTCTTAGCAAAAAGTATAGTGACAAGTTTAGTCAAGAAATGAGTGTAGAGCCTGTAATGTTTTTGCTTTCATTAATTTATGTACACCCACTGCGGACAACATTTACCACCCTCATTTCTTCTAAATTTATAAAATTATTTCTAAACTATATACCCCATCGTATTTTTGTAACTATCCATATATGTATTTCTATCACCTTTCGTGATACAACTTTCATCCTTTTTTCATTTCTCATCATAAAATTATCAATCATTTTGAAAGTTAGACACCTCCAGACTCAATTCAAATTGTATAAAAATAATATTTCTACATCCTTTAGAGAATAATCAAATATACAAAAACTTTCAAACAAAGATCCAACCAAAATCATGATAACATGTCATTTAAATACAATTATATCATCAAACAATTTGCCAGAGATCAAACACCTCCAGACTTAGTTTCAATCGCATTTACTTGCTATAATTACTTTAAAATATATCTCTATGCTAGAGTTGAAGTACATCACTATATAATTATTTTGTACTGCATATTTTTTATATATCATATGCAAACTTCTCAGAACACAATATGTCATGTAATCATCCATATCAAAATTTATCTAACTCAAGAAAATAACTTAAATCACATCTTACTCATAACTTTCTCTAGAAAACTTTGATTCAAGTGACCCTTAAGTCAAATCTTAAGGTTTAAATTCCAATGAATTTATTTTTAAGTTTAGATTTTTAAAATAAACATCATATAACCACATACTGAACAAAGCATATGAACAAAAATGAAAGAAAGTATGTTGTTAAAGCTTAGAATGATAAGATAAAACCCTCTTTGCCTCAAGGAGATAATATGCAAAGAGTTTCATGGAAGATATTGTTCAAAGGACCAAGTTCTTCCTATGTATCACAAGATAAAGTATTTTTGAGAAAGGAGAAAACTGAGAAATAGAAATGAGATTGAAATACTAAACTTTAAGAAACTTACTTGGAATCAAGTAGAACAA